ATTCAATAATAACTGATACAATAATAACTAATTCAATAATAACTTATACAATAATAACTAATTCAATAATAACTTATACAATAATAACTGATACAATAATACATAAAAATGATAAGTAATACATTTATTTATCTTTTAACATTATTAAATGCAATTCTCTGTGTCGAAAAGAGCCGTCGCAACATGACAGTTTCCCTTTATTTAAGACTGATAACCACATTGACAGTTTCCCTTTCTTTAAGACTGATAACCACATTGACAGTTCCACTTTATTTAAGACTGACAACCACATTGACAGTTCCACTTTATTTAAGACTGATAACCACATTGACAGTTTCCCTTTCTTTAAGACTGATAACCACATTGACAGTTCCACTTTATTTAAGACTGACAACCACATTGACAGTTTCCCTTTATTTAAGACTGATAACCACATTGACAGGTCCACTTTATTTAAGACTGATAACCACATTGACAGTTCCACTTTATTTAAGACTGATAACCACATTGACAGTTCCACTTTATTTAAGACTGATAAACACATTGACAGTTCCACTTTATTTAAGACTGATAACCACATTGACAGTTCCACTTTATTTAAGACTGATAACCACATTGACAGTTTCCCTTTATTTTAAGACTGGTAGCCACATGAACAGTTCCACTTTATTTAAGACTGTTAGCAACAACAACAAAAAAAAAAAGAAAGAAAAGACACCAAACTGAGCTTCCTTTCTAGCATTGAACTATGTCCATTGAGTGTGGTCATACGTGCAGTCCACAAGATCGCCACACAAACTAAATGCTGTTGTTAACGACCCGCAGTCTGAACAGCTGTACGCCACATAGATAAGACTCAATAACCGTGCGCGCCCGTTTCCCCAAGTTTGAGGTTTACATTATTATTGTGTTTGTGATATCAGTTTGTTTCCTATTGTGTTGTATGAACAGCTGGTTATTCTCCCAAATAGAAGTTTCAAATATTCTCTAAGCTTGGCGTGGACACTAGCTTAAGGACGTGGTGCTCCCTGCAGGAAGAGTCGTAGCGAGGGGGGGCAGGGGGGGACAGATTCCCCGGGCACCAGCTAGTTAGGGGCGCCAAAATGTGCTTTGATATTATTTTACTGATGAAAATAATGGGTTTGAGAGATGATAAAAATAATAGGGGCGCTTTAAATTGGATCTTGTCCCCGGGCGCGAATCTTGCCCCCCCCCGGGCGCCAAACACCCTCGCTACGCCTCTGGGGCACGTGGACGAAATTTTCGAGTGTTCTGCATCGAAAAGATATGCATGAAAGAATGTCGTCAAATTCAACGTTTCACTTAGACAGAAAAGCTGAGACCATGTCACTTAACGCCCACAACTCATGAATGTCGTCAAAGTTTCACTCAGACAGAAAAGCTGAGACCATGACACTTAACGCCCACAACTCATTCAAACTATCAAGTCATATTGGAAGGAAAACCAGCGGTGATCTTTTATTTTTATTTTTTCCAACAATATACTAAACAGTTCTGTTGTTTGACCGCAGAGAACCCCCCCCCCCCGTGTCTGATCTGTTTTGACACTAGGTCCGCCTATTATTTCATCGCACGTCAAGGCGATAATATCTTGAAGAGTAGAAGTGTAAACAATATCTATGCGAAGTTTTTTAATAAATACAGGGGCCAAGTGCTTCCATCATTAAACCCGTACAGTCGAAGACCCTGCTAATTTCACCGTGTTTCCTTTCAGTCATTGACTAACTTCACAATCCCCCCCCTCCCCTTTTTTTTCCTTCCCTCCGCCTCCTTAAAAAAAGTTTGGCACGTGGATAAAGTGGGGTTGTGTGGGGTGGTGTGGGGTGGTGTGGAGAGGGGTTTTTTGGGGCTGACGCATTAAATAAAGTCGTCAGTTTTTTTCTTTCTTTCTTTCTTTTTTTTGCTAAAATGGCGGAGAAATCCCCAAAATGGCGCCGCTTGCTGGTCTTTGTGTGAGTACTGAGGAACAAAGAGAACACTTTTTGATATCACCTGTCCCCTCCAACTCACGGGTCCCAGACGTGAAGGAGGGGGGTCCCAGACGTGAAGGAGGGGGGTCCCAGACGTGAAGGAGGGGGGTCCCAGACGTGAAGGAGGGGGGACCCAGACGTGAAGGAGGGGGGACCCAGACGTGAAGGAGGGGGGTCCCAGACGTGAAGGAGGGGGGACCCAGACGTGAAGGAGGGGGGTCCCAGACGTGAAGGAGGGGGGTCCCAGACGTGAAGGAGGGGGGACCCAGACGTGAAGGAGGGGGGTCCCAGACGTGAAGGAGGGGGGACCCAGACGTGAAGGAGGGGGG